GTGCTCCGACTAAAGTGTTCGAGCTGAAACAGCGCTTCAACAAAATTGTCCGGGTTTGAACTGTGCTCTGACTTAAGCGTCTACGCTGAAAAATACTATTATTAAGTGCCCGGGTCTAAACTGTGTTACCACTAAAGTGATGCGCGTAGTTTCCACATGAGTTGAGAATCCATGATTGCACGCCACAGAATGGCAAATGCAGGTACCTTCATGGGAGATGCCAATAACGAACGCAAGGAACTCTAATAGAATCCGAAAAAACACACATAAAAATTCACAACTTCGAGATGTCGGGAAAAGAACTAAGGTAAGAAAAATCGTCCAACGTCCGACATGATTATTGTGCACTGAAGACACCTTCATCGACAGCACAATTTTGCCTGTGGTCTCGATGATACTGCAATATCGCAGTCTTGATGTATCCTAAAAGTATCCGTCGAGCATCTTTCCAGTACCCGGATAATGTTCTTATGTTTCCCAGTGCAGTACATGTGGAATGCACAGATACGGTGGGATACGACTGTTATTAGTAAAAAGTGGACAACTTGGAAGGTGGTTTTTGTATTAAAGAGTGATTCTCTTCAAAAAGCAAATGCCAATCTGCCAGACGAGAAATGTCTGCATTGTGGCGATTTCTATTTACGTAACAGCCGGCCGATGGTAGCATGCCGGGTCTAGTCAACTTCCGCTTCCGGTGAAGGAAAAAAGAATAAGGTCTTGATGGGCCATTCGGGCTATTCACGCGTATATTATTACGTTTAATTATTACATATTATTAACATGCAGCTTCACGCGATGATACGTGCTCCTTTATTTAAGAATTATTATTTGCAGTTCCGAAATCAGGTAGGAATGTTTGATACAAACATAGAACAATCTCTAAACAAGAAAGTTTAAAGTGTCAAACAAATCACAGAAGGATTCAAAAAAGCTATGCCAGTTGTTTGTGCAAAGAATTCCGAAAGGCGCTTTGAATCCGGTTGTCTGTACTTGGCTTTAGACAGCATTCAGGCAAAAAATCGCCGTCCCCGGAATCCATAACGAAACAGAAAAGCCAGTGGGATTACCCAGGATTCGATTAGCCGGATAGAACAAATAGGGCAATCTAGCCACATAAAGTCTATGAGCAGGAAATGGCAGCAACGCTGTGGGACCAATTAGGCAGCGGGTGCTGTCTCCGACCTCTGCCTAAAACTATCCATCGTTATGCCGTGGAAACCCACTTCGCTCGCTGGATAATCGCTGAGGAACAGCGTGAACCTGCCAAAACAGCTCAGTTATTACGACGCCCAAGGAAAAACAATTATGCACGTATACTTTTATATGTACTTTTTATATATGTATACTTTTATGATATGTGTTTTATGTACACTGTACTTTTATGTAAACGCATGTATACTTTTATATATACTTTTTATAAATGTATACTTTTCTTTTTATATATGCATACTTTTATATCTATATACACCTTATGTATACTGCACTTTTATATATACCGAAAACAAAATCGTATTTGTTACTGTGGTTAAGTATATACGTTCTTCCTTACCGCGAATCCTGAATTCCCAGTTTCTCGTAGATGAATGCGGACATAGATTCAACGTAGGCATCATTGTGCTTTCCAACAAAGTTCCCGATGGACGCCAAGCTGCCGAACGCGCAGGCTTCCGTAGTGCCTCCGCACGTTAGGAATTGATCGGTGCTGATGCTCACCGAGATTTGCTGCAAAAGGTCACACTCTGAACCAGCCTACCTTGGATATTAAACCGTGCCTGATGATTTGCTTACGTTGGGATTCTTTTGCAGCAGTTGGCCCAGCATCTTAGTCAGGTCTTCGTGGAAGTGTGCGGGGAAATCGAATTTGGAAAGGTTGGTGCTCAACTGAAAGAGCGGCATCATTTCGATAGACGAAGAAATATTGCGGAGAACACTCACTTTGTGTTCGAATAAGCTGATGTGTTGGTAAACAAGTCCGACGCTTATAAAGCTTTCGGAGGACAAACAGTTCTAGCGGCTGACATCGACAGGCCCAGACAAACTTCCAGGAAATGGCAGTCACACGACCGACAGTACCCTAGAACGTCGTTAACCGGGCAAACTTGGAAGGTGATTCCATGTGGGAAAGTCACGTTGATAGTCATTCATAAGTACTTAATCGGCCGCTCCAAAGAAAACATGCAGTAAATCATGGCTTCATTACGCGATCTTTGCGTTTCAGTAATTTTCAGCTCGTTTGCGGCACAATTCTGCTGTGAACGATTATGGCGGATTGCAAATCACTGGTAAACGGCCGATTAGTGCAGATTTCTACCATTCACGATCAATGTCGCCAAAGTTGTAAATTATTATTATTACGACCAAAGAGCAGACAAACCCATCAGGGACTACACATCAGGGCGAGCAATGCTCCGAGGAAATAAGATGGTCCATAATTATTCATAGCTCAGTAGTGAGAGTAGTAAATTTTTAGGTGTAATTGAACGGGCGCATAGCAGAATACCTGCTGCATTTATTATAGTTTGCGTTAACATATTTTAACATAAACAACGAATGACGAATATCATATCAGCGAATGGTTTCTTTCGTTTCCTTTATTTTTTGGTATTGTATGTATGCACATTCGTTTTATAAACACATTAACTAAATTTAAATTTCTTCTGATGAATTTCCCTTTCCCCTGATGTTGAACATCTCGTATCGTAACATGCAGCTTTGCAGGTGATAAAATTACGAATGACGAATACCGTATCAGCGAAACTTTTCTTTCGTTTCCTTTTTTTATCATAGCTATTCCTTGGCTTTCATGTGAAATAAATACAAAGAATCCCAACATAAGTAAGCAAATTGTCAAGTACAAGTACCGGTAGCTTTATTACGGACCGATCGAGTTTAGTTTTGCCCAGTGCACGTAAGTATGCGATTGTTTTTACACCGAACCAGAGTTGCGCCATTTTTTTGAAATTTTAAAATGAGTTTAAAATATATAATGTTCATTTTAAAATTCAAAAAAAACGCTACAACCGCCGTTTATTGTAAATACGGTCTTGCGTTTAGTGCATCAGTGCGTTTACAGGCAAACGTTAAAGATCGGTCCATGAATGAGACTTGTGGTACACTTGAATGCATTAAAGCTTTTTGGGATTTTGTTTTCGCAGCCATAACTCCCGAATCGGATGTTGTGCGCACAAACGATTTTCACGTCTATGTATGCAAGTTATCTGGCTGCAAAATGTGATAAATCATGGTTGTATGTTTGAGAGCGCGCGAGAGAGCGAAATTCGCCGAGCATGTGTACGAATCTGGTACCATGTACTGGGTCACTTCCCAGTTATTACTTGCTACTATGAGATAGATTTTTTTGTCCTGCCAAAAATAGTGCTGATTGTGCGAGCTGCGATGCCAGAATAGGAGTGACGGAATTGTGCGAGCTGGGAGTAACTGAAGCTGTGATAGCAGAATGGAGTTTATTCACTGATTTGCCAAATTAAGCAACCTTTGTCGAAGAATATTTTGTGGCCTTGGTATCTTGCCAGAGTGTTTTATACAAACATTAAAAAAACTTCCTCAAAACCACAAACTTTATAGCGTAAAACGAGTCGCAGAGGAATTGAAACAAAACTATAGAATAACTGTTAGTACAGAACAGTATGGAATAGTATAGTACAGCATAGAATAACCGTTAGTATAGAATAACCGCGAATTAATTTTATTCCCAGTTTCTCATAAACGAATTGGCATAGCTTCGACGTAGGCATCGTTGTCCTCTCCAACAAAGTTCCCGATGGACGACACGTTATCGAACGCGCAGGCTCCCGGGGTGCTTCCGCACGTTGGATATTGGTCGGTGCTGATGCTAACCGAGATGCGCTACAAAAGGTCACACTCTGAACAAGTGTATCTTGAGAAAACCGCGCTTGACAACTTGCTTACCTTGGGATTCTCCTGCAGCAATTGTCCCAGCATCATCGTCAAGTCTTCGTGGAAATTCGCGGGGAAATCGGATTTGGAAAGGTTGGTGCTCAGTTGAATGAGCGGCATGATGTTGATAATTAGTCGCGGACGAAGAGCGGGACTGCTGAGAACTCTGTGTTTGAAGAAGTGAATTCGCGGAATGATGTGTTTGTATACAAATGTCCCGCTTTTAAAACTTTGTGCGAACGGGTAACTTGTTGCGTTCGGATAGAACGACGCGGACAAACTGCCGGGAGGCAAAGTCATAAGTCTGGCAATACCCTAGAATCGCCCTTAACCGGACAATCTGAGAAGGTTATTTTATTCTGGAAAGTTACGGTATTAGAATTTAAAAGTGCACGAGCACTTAATCGGCTGCGCATAGGTTTTATGCAGTATATCATCATTACTAGCAGTTTCTGAGTTTTCAACCGCTTCAAAAGTTACTGCGGATTAAACCTCACAGTTAACGGAGCACTGAAGATTGACTGATTAGTGATTGTCCCTGTATTCGCTATGGTTTTCGACAGCACCATGAATGCTGCGAGGAAGAATCGTAAACTTGGAAAAACTTGAAAATTAGCAATTTTGAATGGTGCATTGTTTGCCAGGACTGATATCTTTAAAAATTATGTCGTGACTGTGGTACGTCTAAACCGATGCAGAAAATAAGACTCCTCGGTACATATGAGGACAGAACCACTTGATTAGAAATTTTTTCTGAATACCGAAATTTTCAAATATACAGATATGTACTGTAGCCGCCCGCACAAGTTGCTCCATTGGCAGATCCGGCCGCTGCCTTCTCCCTGCACACACTGCGCTGAACAGCGAGCAATGTGAGGCCAAATATCCGTATACCTCACTCTGTGGGGCAACTTGTGCGGGCGGCTACAGTATAAGATACGCTAGTTATCCTGCAATTCTGCGGTTATGAAATGCAGATATTTCATATGCACATACAAAGCCCAAAACATTATTAACATACTTACTGACACCGTATAAACACAAAATGTACGTGCATCTGTGCATTTCGTGATGGTGTGAAGCTAACTATTCGACCCTGCAGGACACGATAAAATAAGGTCGGAACATATTTAAATTTATTTGGCAACTGCCTCTACTCAATGACAAGAAGCCTGCGCAAATTTAAACTAATTAAAATGATTGAATTTTAAACATTGAAAAAACATCCAAAATCGTTAGTATCATTACGAGCGCGCAGCGTGCCCAAAACGGCCGCTGCGTTTCCTCTGACTACTGCCAGGCTCAAACGTTGTCTCAAAAAGGCCGTAGATCGAGGTTCCCCGGTTAATTCGCGGATCTTCCGGCCGACGAATCGAATCAGCTCCGCAAAAGACACTCCAAATGTCCCGAAAGTCTCGACTGCCAGAGGATAGAAGAGATATCCCAACTCTTCTACGAAATCGTATTTCCCGCGCTTACTGTTTTCGGCCATTTGGGCTACGCTCCCGGCTTTTCTCGAGCTAGCGTTCACGTGAGACACGGCCACGGTGTCCCAGCATGTCGCATCCCACACCACCGCCTTGCCGTCACGCACCGGAATCAGGGTCATACCGTCAGGTCGCTTGCCGTGGAGATCTGACAGTCCGGAAGGCTCGCTTTTACACGGATATCCCGCGGTCTCCAAACCACGCTTAATCTCGTTGTTCATCTCGACATGGCGCGACCACCTACCCTTGCTGCTTGAACAAGACAAGCCGTGGTGACCGTTTGTTTCTACATGGCTTCCGCAATTTACACAGTCGTGTTCCTCTACAACTGGAAGTCCAAAACGGAGGGCAACGCCAACTCTCACCTCTTCGTCCCGAAGGAATGTGCGCAGATTTGGTGCCGGGAGTGCATTTAACCATGCACCGGAGTCACGATGTAGAGCGGCCAGCAGTACAGCTTTATCGGTTTCGTTCGTGGCGGCTAGCAGCAGCGCCGACAGCACAGAGTCAATCACTGGACGATCCCAGGCCCGTTGAAACTTCCTGTTCTCTTCTGCAGGTGGTTCACACTTACTCCTGTCGGTCCACTGCCGCACAACCGGACCTAGGAGCTCAACCGTCGCAGGCTGGTAGATTTCCGACATCTTTTATAACTGCTGACGTGCTGTATAACGGAGACCTTAGAAGTTGGAAGCATTATTGGATACATTTGGCACGAGACATTCGTGGAAAGCCATGTGTTTCGTGTCGAACCATTCCGATTACCTGGAAAATCTTTTACCGTGGATGTGACGCTTTTCTACAGGGAATGTTGTCCATGTGGTTGGTGGCTTGCGCAGTGCGAACCCGGTTCGGAATTATGGTCGACTGGTTTGAGTGCGTTGCTGGACGTGCGCATTTTCTTATCGAAGTAAAACATTTGGATTATGCAGGGAAACGGGCATAATTTATCTCTGACTGTGAACAAGTTGGAAAGCTGACGGAAATGCATAGAATCAACGCAACCCAGTAATATGGGTCGCTGCTGTGTTAACTGGTTTTTGGCATTCCCACCGACTCTGTATGTGACGCTTTAATAAAATTGTTCTCACCTTCCCACAAATGGAATTTAGTTTTCCCGAATACGATTATTAATTATTTCGATTATCTCGTTTCTAGAAGACGGGAGAATCCTTGTGTCAGGCAACGTTCCCTTTTAAGGCATCGCAGGAAACCCCATGGCTGTTAGGCCACCATACAGTATACACAAACTCGTCACCCGCAAACCTCATTCATCGGCATTCACGATTATAAAGGCTTCCGACGGCCGCTGCAACCTACATGGCGTCAAGAAACACAGGTAGCGCGCTATTTTGTTCCAGCTGTATAAGAAATTACACCCATCACACATACTGCGAGCACAATCCGGGATTGTACCCGTAATCTGTGTGATGTGTGCAGTCCCCGACCAGGATAGCATAGAGGAAGAGTTTTCCTTAAGAATATCCTTTTTGTTTTAGTACTAAGTGTGTACTTGTCTTTGATACTAGTTTTATATTAAAGGTATTGCACAGTCCAGAAAGTACACTAATAGTAGCCAATACAATGGGCATTCAGTATGTTACGCAGCAGGTCCCGGTCCTTGGATAGCTCCCCGGGACACCGGAATCCACTCTTCGACGTTATACAATATGCTTGCAATTCTCAGCCGTGTTGTGCTCGTAGCATAATTTGGGCTTCTGTCGCGGAGTGTGGTGACGAGTGTGTTCGGCCAGATAAGAATGTTCGGCCAGATGTTCGGCTTGGTATGGAAGACACAGCAGGTTTATGGGTTACTTGCTACCGTGATGAAACTATTAAACTGTTGAACAGGATGTTGGAACGGTAGAAGAATTGGACGATCTGGATCCTATCAATCGCTGGCTGGCCATTAAGCCACGGTCGCCGTGCTGCAGCCGCTGCTCGTATCCTGACGTGGTAGAACGGCAACCCCGATGGAGTTGCGCGGAACCTGGGCCGTGCTGGTTCGGCAAAACGCCCAGTAGCCTTGCTTCTACAGCAATGTGCATTGTGGGAGAAGCATCATTGCTGGGAATAACCGCCGTTGGATGTGCAGCGCGTAATCCAGTGCTTAACTGATCGGATGGATGCCGCGATCATGCCTGGAAAGCGATGGAGGTAATAATGTGTCATTGCATCCCCTTATTTTAAATGGCCCGGTCATAGCGTCAAGAATGGGATAAATACACTAAACCTTTCGCTTTCGCACCCTACGAATCAGTTTTTGTCAAACGTTATGTCATTTTAAAGCTAGTAGATTTGTATATATTGTTTTGAAAACCGTTTGCGCACGCAACATCCGGTTCCCGAGATATACGTGCTAAAATGGGCGAAAAGTTTAAATGCATTGTTGTGTACCAAAAGTCTGGTTATTACCCAATCTTATTTGAAACTTTACCATAAAAGAGACATGGTCATAAGGTCGAAAGTGAACCATTTTCAGATCCATACCATTTTTTTCCGATTTTAAAATGAATTTTAAAATTTTCGAAATTCATTTTAAAATTGGGGAAAAATGCTATCAAGCTGATATTGGTTCACTTTCAACCATATGGCCAAGTGTCTTTCATGGCAATGTTTCAAGAAGATCGGGTAATAACCAGACTTTTGGTACACAACAATGCAATTAAACTTTTCGCCCATGTTAGCACGTATATCTCGGCAACCGGATGTTGCGCGCGCAAACGGTTTTGAAAACAATATATACAAATCTACTAGCTTTAAAATGACATAAAGTTTGACAAAAAAGTGATTCGTAGTGTGCGAAAGCGAAAGTTTTAGTTTATGTATCCCATTCTTGACGCTATGTACCGGGCCATTTCCCTTAAGAGAACAGGAACCGATACTGCAGTTCATCCCATAAGCCACAGGGATATATTTTTAGCTTAAGTTTAAATGCGCTTCACCGGTTCCCTAGCGAAATATATTCAGGATACAAAAAAAGATGCTGCAGAGATACGCTGGGATACTGTGGGCACAAGTGGAGACACCTGTCCCGATAATTTAACGTGCATTAACTGTGCCGCAGGTGAACGATTTGTATATTGTACATAAGCGTAAAATCCGTTTCTGCGCGCAATTATCCGACTGGGGTTACACCTACAGTAAACGAATTAAACATTTTTGAAATTTTTGGAATTTGAAATGGCCATAACTCTCCAGCCGGATGCTGCTCGCATAAACGGTTGTCACGCCACTGTATCAGTCTATACAAAGCATCTGGCTACAAAGTTCCATGAAACAACGTAAAAGTTGTTTAGGAGAGCGCGAAAGCGAAACTTTTTGGGCGGGTACACGAATCTGGTACCATGTGCCGGGTCTCTTTCCTTAACAAAGTCTTTACTGCAAAAACGAGACTTAGGCTGCTAGAAATAGAGTAGGCTTTTTGCTGTGCTTCTGTGTGCACTGTTTTTCTTATGCAAGGGTTTCAGTATGCGCCTTTCCGGTTAACAATGACGTTACGCTGGACAATAATCCGGTCTCGGCCAGAATATTCATGGATGTGCAGTTGTCCCAGAGCGTGCAGCCGGAACAAAACGATAGTAAGGATTTTTCGTTTCTTTACAAGCAGATACTGTAAGTACAGATACAGTTGCATTTCAGCAGCATTAAATTAATGATCTAGTCACATTTTGGGTCGTAAAAATTGATACATAAGCAATGCTACATAAGCAATGCTACATAAACAATGCTACATCTAGTAAAAAATGATAATTATATGCTAGCTTCGCTGGTTAGCATAAATCACGTCAGTGCAGCACGCTTGGAATCACCGGGAACGTTCTGGGCTGCGATTCGTAAAGATTTAAAAAAACAAGGCCGATCGGTATCGTGTGTACGTGCCGTATTACTGTTTCGTCCATGAGCCGTGCAGGCGCACCCGCTCATTAGCATATGCTAATAAGACCAATGGCGCGATGAACATTCTCATGCGGGCTGCGGCATCCTTGATTAGCCGCAAATCCAGGTTACAGAGGATATCGTTGCAACGCAGATTCGGAAGATTTTGGAAAAGTAATTACTGCAAATTGCAGTAACTCACGAACAAGATCGCACAGCTGATCGCTTTATAAATCGTTATGAAACCTCATTACAGCAACGGCAGGGAGCTTGTTAACGGGTACTGGGAAGGTCATTGACTTGTGCAGTATCACACCGGTCACACCGATATTAAAATTCCCAAACACGACGCAGAGTGGAATAAGAAGTGTATGCTGTGTAATCAGGATAAGTTTTTGGGATCTTCTTTTGCGCTAGTTTTTGCGAGGAAAATTGTATGTCACTCGGTACCTCGGATTTTTATCACCTTATATCTATATGACTTAATTGATGCACAGTTTGAAAGTTGAACGAACAAGTAAATCGGATTGATCCGTACTGGCAATAAACCTAGATCCGAAATCTCCCGCAACAGCTGAACGAGATAATGGCCTTAATTTTAGTAAGCATTTACTGAAGCTTATTCGATATTTAGAACCGACTACGCGATCCGCGGTCCAAGCTCTACAGCTCCAGATGCTGTATAAACTCAGTGCATCGATTTTCAGTCAGGTTATCTAAATCATGACGTTCTGGGAACCCGGTCACTTCCTCACTGGTTTTACAATTTGACATACGCTTCTTTGACAATGAGTAATAAATCAGTTGATGAGCTATGATTGATGTTCGTTCATACAGCAGACATCAGTGCAACGGAAGGTATACAATTTAGATGCCAATCACGCAAAGCCGCGTTTAATAAAGTTTGGTTATGTACAATCTGACTAAATGAGGAGGCTACGGTCTATGTTAAAAAGCCTGCGAACAGCCTTTTTTGCCCGCTGAGGCTGATTGATCAATGCAGCCTATCTGCTGTGACTATAAATAGACCGAAGACAGAGGATTTCAGTGCTACTAAAAAGCGCAAGCTGAATGCTGCCTCGCTGTATCGATCGATCGGCACATGTGCGTGTGAGTGGGTTAATCCGCTCGCATTCACTTACACACGTATGAGTGTGGCCGTCTGTGCGCGTACGAGCTGTACAAACCGGTTTTCGCTGTCTTCGCTAGAACGCACACCCTAAACCCGTAGCTTCCTTTCTTGCTCGCATTGTACAGATGCAGCGCAGTAGTAATGCGGTTGCCGAGAGCATCCAGTATTGACATCTGTTTCCGGCATTCTCAAAACCACCTTTTGCAATCGCTTTAACTGGATTCTCAATCCTGGAACCAAGCTCCCTCGCCTGGACACCAACTAATTTGCTGTATGTACTAATAGTGATGTGCGATACAAAACGATACTGCGCGCTGAAGACCTTTACGACAAAGATTACGGATCCACGCTTGTGCAGACACGAGAACTTGCGCTTTCAACCGATGTATACCCGGTATACATGTATGCAACTTTCTCGGCTACAAAGAAGTGATTCGCGGTGCGCAAAAGCGAAAGTTTTCGTGCATGTGTACGAAGCTACCGAACTTCTACCGAGCTATTTCCTTGTACATGTACATTGTGCCGGGTCAAGATGAGCATAAAAGGAAAATTCTCACAGGTTTCCAGTAATACAGAGGTATTTAACCGGCAGGGCTTCTTGCTTGCTGACAAAAAGCCGCATTGTTACGGCGCTAATTGTCAGGCTGATAACTGTTATTCGCGGTCTTCCGTCAAAACAATGTCACAACTGTCGGCGAGTGGCGTGTGCGCGGAGTGGTTGACGGGTGTTTGTGCTATAATTTCTGTCGTGTTCAACTGACGTAGAACATCAATCATTAACTACCAGTAGATGAAATCGCTGTCAGTACGTACCATAACTACGAAACAAATCCTATCATACACAATGTTTTAGAACCCGCAACATGTCTTTAATTGTATGCTCTGCAGTTCACACTCATAGGAATTGACACTGCGGATCTGTCGAGCTCAAAATCTGGATCTCGAACGTCATTTGTCAGCAGCAGCACTGCTTGTATGGCCCGCGCTCAAGCTCTGACTCAGACTCTGACCGCTCAAACTCTGACTCTGACTCTGACTGAATAACCTAAGAATAACTTAAGAAACCTAAGAAACCTAAGAAAACTAAGAAACCTAAGAAACCTAAGAAACCTAAGAAACCTAAGAAACCTATTAAGACCTAAGAAACCTTCAGAGTCAGAGTCAGACTTAGAGCGGTCAGAGTCAGACTTTGAGTAGTCAGAGTCAGAGTTTGAGTGGTCAGAGTCAGAGTCAGAGTTGGAGTCTAGGCCTGCTTGGGCCCGCCGCATGTCAAATCCTGCTAATCTTAACCGCATAACATTGCGGTTACCGGGAAGACTGCGCCAGCATTGCTTTTGAGTACGGCAGTGACTCGCCAGGCAAATGATACGCTATCCTCCCACAAAGTTCAGTTAAGTTCAGGAACCACTGCAGCGAACTGTAATCGGCAAGAACCAGTAGGTCCAGTACCCTCATTTATATTGTACACCTGCGTTGATATATGGCAATCAAAATGGTGAAACTGTTGGCCGAATGAATGTTGCGGAATGAACGCAGATCCACCGTTGTGCGACCAGTTGTACATGTGTGTAAATAAACTTATCGTTCGCTGATTGTGTAGTGCACCATTTTGATTAAATGTAAGAAGCCAGTGGAAAACTGGGATACAACCGAAATTGAGCTTTATTAGTCTGACCTCGGCAAATTGGACGACAACACGCCAGTCGAGAGGCCCGGAAGGTATACTGCGCGATAATAATAAAGAGTAGATTTCTTTTACGCTTTTTCGTTCACCAGTATTATTAAGGAAAACGGCCCGGTACATGGTGTCAAAATGGGATGCATACACAGTACACTAAACCTTCGCTTTCGCGCACTCCGTATCACATCTTTGCGATACTTTGTGTCATTGAAAATCTAAAGGATTTGTGTACATTGTGCTGAATACCGTTTGCGCGCGCAACATCCAGTTGACGGGATATGGTTCACAGCACGTTCCATTAATTTTAAAGTTTTTGAAATCCATTTTAAAATCTGAAAAATAGGTCTGACATTTGTTCACTTTAGACTTTATGTCAATGTGTCTTTTACAGCATAGTTTCAAGAAGATCGGGTAATAACCAAAAGTTTGGTACACAACAGTGCATTTAAGCTTTTACCCATTTTGGTTTGCCATATAGACTCGGAAATCAGATGTTGGGCGCGCAAAACGGTTTTCCAAAAAATGTAATGATTTGAAATCATTTAGCTTTAGAATTACATAAAATATTACAAAAAAGTGATTGGGAGTGCGCAAAAGCGAAGCGGGATACATAACTAACAATAAGCTCTAAGCGAAGTTTAGTGTATGTATCCCATTTGAGATACATACACTAAACCGGGTCATTTTCCTCAAAGATATTTTGGCAGCAAAGTGGCCTTAATATTCCCTATTGTAAAATTTGTCACTCGAGCATAACTAATGCCCTGATTCATTCAGCATTTCCTCACCATCAGGCCGGTTTGTGATTTTTTTGGACGCTCGTTTTTCCAACCTTAACAATGGATACACGTTAACGTTGATGTACATACATTAATGTACATCCATGTTAACATTGGATGTACATACGTTAACGTCCCAGCGCGACGTCGGTGTAGCCTCGAGCGGACGGTGTAGACTATCAATGCGCTGTATGCGCGTATTGTACGGTAACGAGACGGTATTCAGCGCTGCGATTGTTGCAGTTGTATTGGCGGATGATTGGCCGCGCCGGTATTGTTCGTACGAGTGTTTTTGTTGTCCTCCCGTGAAGCGTGAGATGCCGAATCCTTTTGCAATCGGCCGACGGATACACCGGGCACGCTGCTGACGACTGCCGCGTTCAGCATTGGCGGTGCACTGAGTGCACCGGTCCACCAGACTGCCCGTCATAATAAACGCCTTCAATTGCACGCTGCACCTGGAGCCATTCTTCTGCACCGGAAATACACCGCGACAGTATCCCTGGTTATCGATAAATACTGCACAAACTGTATATATACTGCATATACATTGGCATATGCCGATTTCTGTGCTAAATGTTTCACTTTTGATGATGTCCTTGGAGAATGATTCATGACGTATCGGTCGGGTCAGCAATCATGAACGCGACAACGCCGACGTCCACGGCGATCAAGGTACGTAATTTAAATTAGAGCGATTTGATAAGGTAATTACTTAAAGACATTCAAGCCGAAAACACTGCACTTCGTATGCAGTTGGCATTAAACTATGAATTTACCATCCATTAAAAAGCGGCCGCGGTGCGATTTTTTCGTTTTCAAGCATTTGTGTTGATTGCCTTTTTTGTCGAATTTGAAATACAATAAAATCTACTTAGAAAACATAATTTAAAAAATATTTTTTTAAAAATGATATAATTTTGATCTTATTTAGTAAAACGTTCATAAAAGAATAGTACTTAATAGGATAATAATTAATAAAAAGAATAGGGAGGGCGCAAGTTACGCTCCGATTTACGTTGTTCATGCAAGTCAAACCGAGTTTTGAGTTCTACCGCGAGTTAGGCTACCATAGACAATACATGTAATTTTTATGATAGTAACGTTAAAGCTAGGTTTTCTTGGTAGCAGGTTACGCTTTAAAGTTACGTTAAAACTCGATAACTTGCAAATAACTGGCGTTAAGTTACAGAGTTAAGTTATAACTGCCCGGCTCTCGTGTTTTTAACAAACTCAAAAAAATTACAACAAACAATTTATTACAGGTATGAAAACTTTTTAACAATTTAACATTGAAATAAATAATTTTTGACATAATTGGAAATGACTTCTGAACATCTGTAACCCTACAGAGCGACCCTTTCGACGCAGCGTGTTCGTAAAGATACTTATATGTGCCGATTGCAGCACTAACCAGTCTGTATTTGTGGGTCAAGTTTTGGCATTGTGTGTTTCCTATGCTGCATTCTTTACATAATTATGTTAGTTCACCGCGGTTACAATGCTCTTCCAGGTCACCCAGGAATCTCAAGTCACCAAGAAGGAAGCGAGAGTGAACTGTGGCATTTGCGGGAAGTCGTATGCCAGCAAGAAAAGCCTAAAAATCCATCTACGTCAGCACACCGGCGAGAAGCCGTACGCGTACGTCGAACGGTCTCGTACCATGTTATAAAGAAGCGCGAAGGAATTGTGTTCACAACATCTTCAGTATCAAGCCGGGTTCCTTGTAGGTGCCACTTATGCCCCAAACGATTTAGCCAGACCAATATTCTCAAAGCGCATCTGGATTTCCACGCCGGGCGGCGTGACTGGGCGTGTAATATCTGCCAGAAACGCTTCACGCAGTTAGCTCACTTGCGCACCCACCAAAGGATACATTCCGAGGCCTCACGAGATCATACCTGCTCAAGATGCGGAAAAAGCTTCAGTTCCAAAGGTACGCTTTCTTATGCTTTCCCATGTTTCTCGGTTTCTGATTTATTTTCTTACGTTTCTTAGAGCTCCCTTTATCCCAGTTCACAAACACAATAATTACTACAAGTCGGTTTACTGTTAGATATTATTTTATTATTTTACTATTAAATTTTATTTTTATTCTAAGAAAAGTGCGGACGTCTGGAGGGAAGTGGCCCGGTATATGGTATCAAATTCGTGTACCTGCACGAAAAGTTTCACTTTCGTGGCACACCAAAACACATTTTTGTGTCGGTTTATGACATTCTGTAGCCAGATGATTTGTATGCACTGACGTAAAAACCGTTTGTGCGCGCAACATCCGGTTCGGGAGTTACGGCTGTTAGAAAAATCCAAAACGTTTAAGAAAAATGGCCCAGTACATAGCGTCTAAAATGGGATACATACACTAAAACTTTCGCTTTTCGCGCACTCCGAATAACTTTTTTGTAATACTTTCTGTCATTCTAAAGCTAAATAATTTCTATACATTGTTATGAAAACCGTGAAAACCGTGTGCGCGCGCAACATCCAGATGCTGAGATATGGCGTACTAAAATGGGCGAAAACTTTATATGCATTGTCGTGTACCAAAAGTCTGGTTATTACCCGATCTTCTTGAAGTAAAAGACACATGGCCATGAAGTTGAAAGTGAACCAATATCATATCCATAGCGTTTTTTTCAGATATTAAAATTTCAAAATTTTTGAAATTCATTTTAAAATTATGGGACAGTGCTACGAACCTGAGATTGGTTCACTTTCGACTTTATGGCCATGTGTCTTTTGTAGCTGAGTTTCAAGAAGATCGGGTAACAACCAGACTTTTGGTACATAACAAGGCATTTAAACTTTTCGCTCATTTTAGTACGGCTTATCTCGGTAACCGGATGTTGCGCGCGCAAACAGTTTTCATAACAATGTATACAAATCATTTGGCTTTAAAATGACATAAAGTATTACAAAAAAGTGATTCGGGGTGCGCGAAAGCGAAAGTTTTATTGTATGTATTCTATTTTCGACGCTATGTACCGGGCCGTTTCCCTTAGATGCATTTCGGTGTACCAAAATTCTCATTATGGACCGATCTCCTTCAAATTATCCACGTAAATGCACATAACCATGAAGAACGTCTTTACACCGATCCAACTCCCGAACCGAAAGTTGTGCGCAGAAACGGTTTTCACCCCGTGTATACAAATCATCTGGCTACAGAATGTCGTAAACCAAGAGGAAAAAGGGTTTGGGAGTGCGCGAAAGTGAAAGATTTCGTGCATGTGCACGACGTTGGGGCCATGTACCGGGCCGATTCCCTTAACAGACAAGCCAGTTATACTATGAATTTAGTCTACCGAATAATTTTCTTTGAGCCGCGATACGACTGTTCGCGCTACCCTAAAGTGTGTACACTGTAGCCGTATGTTGTAGCGGTGGAAAGATGTACACTGTACACTGTAGCGGTGGAAAGAGCAAAAAATAATGCTACAGTTCTAGCGTGATCGTCGTTGCGCTAAATTTTGTTGTTTACAAATTAACAACTAATGCATGCACCGTTAAAAATTTTGGTGACAAACCTATTTATAACTAAATTGGTTTGGTCTCTTAAAATAGGACATTTCTTTAAAAGTAATGTTTCTGTTACGAACTGTTGTGGCTGCAAAATAGTTAATTTAACGATAATTATTTGTTTTTTATAACGAGATTAAATATTTTGCGTTCGTAAATCAATATTTTATTAACGATCCTTAAGGTCATCAACAGTGCGAGATTGTCGTAAATATACATAAGTTATTAACACAAGCATCATTATTTCGCAGTAAAATTTGTCGGCATTTCCATTATCCGGAAGCAATGACCATTTAGCATGTTTTATTACCATATAATGCATCCAAATAAGACTGATTTATGCGTTTCGGGTGGATTTGGGTCTGTTTTCTTGTAGTTTTGTGTACCCTCGAGAAGGATTAGGACGACGATCACTAAGTATTCAGTTTTATGTCTGCTGCCTTCAGCTGTAGGAGCTCGTTGCCAGTAGAAACGACAAGCTAACGAGGCACCTAACAACCTTGAACCGGTGATAAATTAGCCTAATTTACGCTGTACTTAATGAACCGACCAGCACCAACGCTATGATACCTTAGATACTGTACAGACATTTTCGGAAATAAATCATGGAAGTAACTAATGGCTTCCTATCGGCTATTTAAGCATTTATCGGTAATTATCGGTATTTATGTAATTTATGGGAATCATTCGCTCTGTTCCTATTTCCATTAAGCACTTGCGCCAGTTCAGTGAGACACTGGCTTGTTAAACGAGCTGTATTTTGGTTTGCGTGGCTAGAAGTAATGCGATTACGCAATGCTTCTAATGAGTCAATAATGTTCAAAAATAAGTAAAGGGGTGATATACGGTGGGCCACCTTGAACTATACCAATTTGCTTACGCAATTTCTATTTCTGACGTGTAAAGCACATCGTACTGCTTTCGGAGCACTTGTAAATTTTACAACCACTTAAACCGATTTTTAGTTATACAGTAAGTCTTGTAAAATACAGTGATGAATATAAAATCACGTTATGTGAGCTGCTGTACATGATGGTAGGTCGCACCGTTTAACTTAATATAGCGGTCCAGTTGAACACCATTACGAGTAGGTAACGATAAATTAACTAGAGATTTTCTAGTCGCTCAATTCATTTATCCAATGATAAACGATAATTCGGCCCACGAAAACAGTCAAGAAGTTTAAGCACTACTATTTTTATATTCAACAGGTTCGAGAGAAAGGCACGAGCGCCGTCACACCGAGGCCAAACCCTTTAAATGCCAAAAATGCCCGAAACTGTTCACCCGTTCCGCCACCCTCCAACAGCACCTCAACGCCCACCGGGGCTTCAAACCGTTCGCCTGTCCCTTCGAAAATTGCGAGCGCCAGTTCACAACGAAATCCAGTGTGCGACGTCACTGCCGGGAGACTCAACACGCAGCGGAAGCCGAGAGCGACCGGGACAGTACAGTTTCTTCGGGGCGCGATTCCGGTTTCGATTTAAATTCCTCACTGACCAGCAGCGTGTCCATCGCCCCGGAAAGTCCGGTGGTAATTAAAGTGGAAGAGCTGGACGAAATGCACGAGATGGACATGTACCGCAAGGTCATCGGCAACCTGACCGAATCGCAGTTGGAGCGTCTGGAGGAGTACCTGCAAATCGCCATGGATGACCGGGAAACCGACGTCGATGATCAAGTAGCGTACACCGTCAAAAATGAAGCAATAAACGAAAACGCGGAATCGCTGATCGAGAAGGCCAAATTATTGACCGGCCGTGGGGAATTTTCTGCCGCAGCTATCGTGGCGCGCAGTCCTTTTGCCGATTCAAGTTATTTGTGTTCCGGAGATGAGCAGCGTTATTTTTTACCTAAGGACACTTTCGGCAGTAACCACTGGAATTACTGTCACGGTCCGTCACTCGGAGAATTCGCTTACAGTGGCAATTTCGCCATGATCGATGGCTATATTATGGAAAGCCGTTGGCTGCATTTTACGGGAGCGTATCCCGTTGCCACTTCTTCGTGTGTAGACGACGACAGTAGCCAAGTGTATGCATTTGATGGACCACCGACGTACTACGAACTTCCTTGAAGTGTTCGACGGTTATTAATGATTCTGTTTGCGTCAGATGGAATCGTGTTGACCGTGGGATCAGTTCTTCGGTATCGGCCGCTTTATTAGCATTTCTCTGTTACTGCTCATGGAATACAGATCGTGAATGGTGGAGTGCTCAGAATGTCAAGGGAATTTTATTCTGGATTGGTTGATCCGGAACGAATTCCCTTCTTGATTGTGGGATGTGATATTTGGAAGGATCTTCATTGTTTTTATGCCTGTATTTGTTTATGAAGTTTATACTGATCATGTTAACCACCGCCGGCTCACTAACTGCATTGGTTGCTCATTCCATACGGAACCATGACATGTCGCGATATTAAATTTTTACCATAACCAATCGCTGGTGTTTTACAGATTGCTCCCGTCAGTAATAACCATAAAACCTACAAAAGTCGTGAGTGAAATAAAGAAAAGGCACATCAGTATTACGAATTATCGGCTGTTATTGGCAGTGTTAACTGTCAACACAGCTTCTACATTATGGCAGTTTGAATTACAGTAATTCGTACGGCAGACAGAACAGCATAACAGCCTAGCAACTTAAAGTACTAATAAGAATTCTAGCGCTGTTTCTTTGACATTTTTGTCATCTGATCGATATGTACGTTACCGTACTTGCACTCTGCAGGCGCAGATATTAATCAGCGACTTCACAAATACGTCTAGCCAAATTAGCGTTTGATTGTGGAAGCAAGTCAACCCAAGATGAGATCTTGCACGGGTTCTTCCTTAAGGATTCGTCAAACAGCGCGCAGTTACTGTAACTATATATGCACTACCGCCGTCTACCGTTATATACTGCAGATTTCACGTACCAGATGAGAGAATCCATGTGTAAAATGCAAATGATGTGTTTGATAAGTACAAGATTAGAAAAATAATTACCTGAAAAACAGCTGCTGCGTTGGAAATCACTCGACACTCTACAATAATATATAAAATGATTGGCTGGGCTTGGTACTCTGTAGAAAGTCTATTAGCATTCCGTTCATCCTGTGTATGGACTGGAACTCTTGTTATGCACCCGTATAACACAAGACAAATCGAGTTACTCCACACGAAAATCATAATTATGGACGTAGCGCAGAGAAAGTCAGTAGTTTTGTGAATCAGCCAGGAAGAATCGAGATAAAATTCCCACAGGACTGCCGCACTGGGCGGTTGCCCCTGCTCTGCGCACCGGAAGTCCCTGAATTTCCTTGATTTGAAATTTTCCGCGGAGCTTTATTAGCAACATGTATATGTGGATCGCTGAGAAGATAGCAGAGATTCTGTTAACTAGGCCAATTTTTTTACAGTTTAGACAGGAGTACTTAACCACAAATTGCATTCCTGGCCGTCTGCCAAGCCATGCACTGCACTGCTGATCGAGCAGTGTGCGTGCATTGATAGCCAAACACACTGTGCCGTGCACGTTGTGCTGCCGGATGCCGTCACTTCCGTTCGATGGGGACGGCGAAACAAAAATTAAGGCTATCGAGTTATCGACCTTAATTAATTAATCGTCGACCTCGCGTAGACGATTCATATCGGCCGTTGAACAATGTTCTCTTCTTCTGATATTATTCTCGAAATCGCATAGTTTTCCAGTCTCTTTCTGAACTGATCATTTCTGGTGATGGCAGCATATTTCAGCGTTGTTTGCTGTGTGTTTGGCTTTTCGTGGATCCATGTAGTTCTTCACACTGCCAGAGACGGGAACGCATTTCGTCCGCACCATATCATCGGCGTGGTTTTGTAATGAGAAGTAGAGGGAATCCCAGATGCGGGATTATTCTCGAGAACCCCGTGTGCAGTTGCCTGATGAGTTGCGTTCCCTGAGCAAGGCAGGGAGCGAAACTCTACGGGCAGCGGCTGGGCTTGATCGGCTCCAGTATTCTAATACCCATATTCCCACCGAGCGCCTTCTTGCTGGATAGTTTGGATGTGAATACACCGGATGTGCTCGATTTTTAAATCGGGCAAAGAACAGCTTCGATACGCGCCACGGAATTGTATGGCCACGATCGAGTTTCTGGAGGATGCTGTCTTTCTATCTACGCCACGGTTCGTACATAGTTTTATTGAGAATATTTTATGGCTTCTGCCTGTAGTATGATCAGTAGACCATGGTATTCCCTATGTAACCTTCAAGTATCCTCCTTATTTTCAGAAGCCTCTTTGTTTCCACCGCCGTATAATTTCTGCAGCACGTGTCGTGTGTTGTACCATGGTTTTTTTTAGGGAACGATCTCGGGAAATATCCTGGTATTGCGCTTGATCTGGAGTTGGTATGTACTTACATATTTTTAAATAATTATTATGTACTTAACTATGTTGTATGTACTATGTACTTATGTATGTATGTATTCTTACGCTAGGTATCCTTTATATATCCCGCTGTTATTTCACTTAAAATATTCGAGTTCCAAGCTGGTTAACACAAGGTTAACGCAAGACTTCCGACATGCGCGACGGATACACGGGTACGTTGGGGTACGTTACGTTAATAGTCTATGCTGAAATGTCTTAAGGGATTTGGCCCGGTACATAGCACCAAATTCGTGTTCATCCACGGGAACTTTCGCTGTCGCGCACTCCCAAACACTTTTGTGCATTGCTTTATGGTATTTTGTAGCCAAAAGAATTGTATACATAGTTGTGAAATGCGTTTGCGCGCGCAACATCCGGTTGCGGAGTTATAAGGGTAACAAGATCCCAGAAAGTTTAAATGCATTCAGGTGTACCAAAAGTCTCATTATGGACCGATCCCTTTCAAATTTTGCACGTAAATGCGCATAACCATGAAGATCGTTCTTACACCGATCCACTGTTATAGGATGTTTTTCAAATTTTAAAACGAATTTCAAAAATTTTAAAATTCATTTTAAAATTCGAAAAAAATTGTGGAAGTCTGGATCCGTGTAAGAACGATCTTCATAGTAATGTGCATTTATGTGCAAAATTTGAAAGGGATCGGTCCATAATGAGACTTTTGGTACACCTAAATGCATTTAAACTTTTTTGGGATTTTGTCACCCTCATAACTCCGCAACCGGATGTTGCGCGCGAAAACGGATTTCACGCCTATGTATACAAATCATTTGGCTACACAATGTCAAAAAGCAACCCAAAAAAGTGTTTGGGAGTGCGCGCAAGCGAATATTCCCGTCAATGTAAACGAATTTAGTGTCATGTACCGGGCCAAATCCCTTAAAAGAAGCAAAAATGTGGCCAGCAGGATTCACAGAGCATACGCCAAGAATACCATACGAATCTCGTGGATACCGAAGCTCCTGAATGTGATGCGCGTCTGAACGTCCCTTTCAATTCGGCCCGTATTTGTATTCCGGTGTTTTTATTTCTCTCTGAACGTGATGATGCTTTACAGGGGCTTCTCACACAGTGTTCTCGCCGAATCCTGTTTCTTGCGACCATGGAAGAATGGCGGGAACAGTTAAAGAAATGACTTGGCCACAGCGTACAAAAGCGTGCACACGCACGCAAACGTACATTCACTTTAGCGCTCTGCCAGTCCCTTTTTTACATCGTCTTTTTTGTATTTTATAGCCAGATCTTTGTATACGTTGGTGTGAACTTCGTTTGTGTGCGCAACATCCGATTGGGAAGCCGTATCTCGAATCTCGGAGATGCACAGAAAGTGATAACTTGCAAGTGTCAGGTAAGCCATCAGACGAATTATAACAATATATACTTCTTATAGCGAAGCTGCAGACAACTTCCACCAGTTACCTCAACTCTGAGCTGTACGTACTGCAGTATCATTATTCGTATCTATTTATCTTATACGTGAACGTTTTTCGCATTCCAAACATACTCACAATGCGAATTCGCCGAGACACCCGACCACACGTTATTCTCCGCGTTGTTTTGCATGACAAAAACTTTTACATTTAATACGTGTTAATTAGTGCTTTTATGCAAGGGAAACATTATGAAGAAGTTATCAAGTTTTCTAATGTGAAACAACGCGGAGGATAACCTGTCTGTCCTTTCCGGGTATTTTTGGTGCAGCGCGTCGCTCGGGCGCTGCACCAAAGTGGTGCAGTAATCCAGTCACGAATAATGAGGTTATTGAGGTACATTACCAGTTTCGTGAACGTTTGCTGAGTAGTTTGCTGGATAACCCAGAGCAAATAAATGTACTAATGCGATTTGCATTTAACCGTGGACATCAGGTTACCTCACACAAGGTCCAAAGTTGGATAGTATTTCAAAGATTTTAATAAACACCATGAGAAGTGATGTAAATGGCGGTTTCTTATACAGTAAGTTAAGGAGTTTTCAGTTCTGTTTGTGGTGTGCTGTCAGTTAAGCAGTTCTTCTCCACGTCTTTCGTTTTCGCAACATTCTTCCCATTTTTTTCCCACAGTAACCGAATCTTCTGCCGATTTTCATGAGACTACCGCATTTTTACATCGCTAATCTATTTTTAGATATAAATTCTTTATTATATTTGAAGTTTCATACATTCACGGTAGGTCAACAACACTACTGTACACACTGTGTATTAAGACTGAAAAAAACAACCAAATTCTCCATTAACAAATTTGTTCCTTCCTGGCAAAGTGCCCAAAACTGCTGCGGCATTTCCCTTCATAATGGCCAAACTGATGCGCTGTTTAAGAAAGGCCGTGGATCTGCTCTCGCCTGTCTTTTCCTAATCAGTCGTCCAAAGAAACTGACCACTTCCTTAGCTGCTTCTCCTAGGACTCCCATCGTCTCCACAGCAAACGGATAAAACCAGTACTGATCTCCCAGCAAGCGGTAGTTATATCGTTTTCGGTTTTCCGCTTGACGAGCTGCTGCTCCAGCCGCTTTGGCCGATCCTTTCAGGTATGACTGAGCTAAAGTGTCTGCACACGTGGCGTCCCATACCAGTTGCTTTCCTTCACGAACGGGAACCAACGTTGCACCATCGGGCCTTTTGCCGTTATCTCTCAGCATTCCTTTAGGCTCCAGTTCGCAAGGAATCCCTGCCGCGAAACAGCCACGTTCAAGGATGGAGTTAAGTTCCACATGCTGACTCCATCTTCCTTGGTTGTATAGGCATGCTAATCCGTGATGGCCATCCGGAGTTACTTTAAAGCCACACCCACGGCATTCATGTTCCGCTACCACTGGCAACCCAAAACGCAGGCCAATGGCGATTCTTACTTGGTCATCGTTCAGGACGGTCCCAAGGCAAGCTGCCGGTAAGGCGTGCACCCAAGCTGCTGATTCTTTTTCCGATGCTGCCAGTAGCAGGGCCATTTCCTTCTCGTTTCTGCTCCGAATGGCTTGCATGCGTACCCGGGAGTAATTCATCTCTACCACGGCCCAGTCCCAGCTCTTCTGGAATTTCCTGATTCCTTCCGCTGGCACTTCGCATAGGTACCGATCTGTCCAAGCCTCCACAGCTTCCTGCAGA